TGGGAATACACCACGTATTGCTAACTAACTTCAATTTGAAAAGATGACTAGTCTTGTATGATGAAAGATTTATAGATATTTACATCTAATGGTAAGCAGAAGTTGAGATGATGGAGAAACAGATGAAAGGTAGAGAAACACGAGATGGCATGATGAGAATGAAAATAAATAAGAAAAAAAGAATAAAGAATTATAAATAAAGAGACAATCTCAACAAGAACGTAAAAAATTCAAAGATCCAATCCATGCGAGTTGTATGGGCGGTGACAATCTACCATTGTGGCTTTCTTACTGATGCGTTAGAGGAGGATCCCCATCATACAATGGTAGAGCTGATTCCGCCCATACAATCAGCGAAGTAGAGAATCTTCAGAATAAAACCTATAACAATTAAAATGTTTAAGTTTTAGCGTAGAGATTTCGGTGGCAGTACGGCTTCATGGAGGCATCAAGAGGTAATCCGCGAACCTCGTGGAGACCTGTTGAACTTCTTGTAACCAAAGTGGTTGACTTGTTCCACTTTGCAGCTTCACAAGAATTTACAGGTCTCGCCAAAATGAAATCGCTCAATTAACCATGAATTAGCCAAAGGAACTAGTGGAAGTGAAAAATGCCACTCCCAAGCCGAACAGCGTTAAGATTCCATTTATAAGTCTTGTAATTGTTTGACGATCTCCTCCGCTAGCGCATGATGAACAATTGTTGATGGATTCCATAGGTCGTGGAAGGCATAACCGTAGACAGATCGAGGTCTGGAAATATTTATTTACTTTTTGGATCAATAATCTGCTTGAACGCCTTGGTGAAACCTAACACTGAAAAACCTTCTTAAAGATACGCCATGTATGGATTCGTAGATGGATACAATTGCGTCTTTACCGAAAGGCACATTGCCATACGTAGAACTCCCATGCCATAGGATTCATAAGTCCCGCAATCTTGCACCATTTCCTTGTTTTTCCCCACTCTCGGAAACTTCGAGAGCCCGCTTATCGCAATGAAGGATCGAAAGTACAGAGTTTGTTCAGCATCTTATACGGAATAGTTTGGAAAGAGTGTCGCAGGGCTCTTCATCCGTTTAATGCTACTGATGATGTCTGATACTATTAATGATAACAAAAATGCGTTGTAAGAAGGAAAAGACTCACTCGACGTTCAGCGTTTGATAGGTGAAGGGTTCCGTGATGTTCAGAGAGTTCATTGCTTCCATGACAGATGGATTGATATCGAGTAGACGAATTCGCAGCTTTGGATTCAATCGTCGTGCTCCTCGCTCCGAATCATAGACAATTCGTCCAAGATGCTTGAAAAGATAGAGCTTCAAGGGTTTTCGCCACTATTCAACTTTAGCTGTTAAAGCGACTCTGGTGGCGTAACGGATAGCTCACTCCAGAGAGCGCCAGGTGCGGGTTCGCGTCCCCCTGGGGTCATGACTTTTGCAATAAGTCAGCATTCCTGTGTTGAAGCTATCCAACCGGGGCACAGCATCCTGATGTGTGAAATGATGGTGTCAGCACGACACCCCTCCCCCCCCTCGAAGGAGGGTCTCGGTACGACCACCCCTTCCCCAACACATAACTTACCATTGTGTTTCAAAAAATATATAGTTCGAAGGGAAGGGGGTAGCTAATGCTGTCGCGTAGACGTGAACGGGAAGAACCGCAAAAGTCACGAAGGGAGGGAAAAATCTTTCCCTATGCGGGAAATTATCTCCAAAGGCCATACGACCCCCACTCTCCCAAAACTGACAAATACACCTCGACCCTCAGCGGGCCCAATTTCACCCCCGCCGCCCTGTGGTTTCAAACAACGAATCTGGACCCGTGTGTTGGAACTCGTGTCAATCTCGAAACGCGCGAAGTCCCCTGAAAATCTTTGTCAGCGCGTATATTCGCAGGATGTCAAGGTCATAACATTTACCCGGAGCCAGTGCCAGCAAGCGCCAGTATGGGGACATTGAAAAATCCCTATAGAATGTCTAAGGTTGTAGAATGTAACACTAGAATGGTTGCCAAGAAATGCACGGTCAGGGTCCCAGGTAGAGCTCATATCTGGGAGCAACGAGGGGCGTGACTGCGAGAGCAGCGAAGATCCGGACGAAGGAGAGGCGCAGATTTGTGTACAAGACAGGAGAGTCAGTACGGATATGTCTTGTTCGCTGCGTAGTTGGGCGTGCCAGATGGATGGGGTTGGCGCGGCGCCAATCCGTTTTCTACATCTTCATCGATTGCTAGCTTCAACAATTGGTAGAGAACAGGCTGGCATCGCTCAAACTCAGCCCCGTAACACGCCCCAGCATCCGCTGCGGACAACTCTGTACACAACTGTTGCCTGGGCGCCCTTTTTTGTCCTCTCATATGGACAATACCCATAGTGTGCAAGTTCAGAATCCGACTGGCGCTCTGTTTTTGCTCACAGCTCAGCGGTTTCTTTGTAGTAAATATGAATTAGAAACGTTGAAATTAATTGGCCGGTTGTTCTCGCGAGATAATCGTTCTTCAAGGCAGTGGAAAGGCATGACGAGCTCTCTTTGGGACCTTATTTTAGAAGAATAGTAGCTCCCTCACCCTGTTCGTGTCGGCTACCAACTCTCCGATTCTTTGCTCCAGATCGCTACCCTCATCAGCTCCACGAACACCTGGCGAATTTCCAAGATCGAGTAAGGTTAAAACGAGCAGTGTACCAGAGTGCATCGCCTAAAGCAGACCTTGAATCTTGGTTGTTCCGAGTTCACGGATATATCTGAGTTTTTATTTGTAGCTGTTAAAATTGAACAGCTTTGGTTTCAAAGCTGTTGTGGTCCAAAGGATGCTACCAGGTGACGTCTATTTTGCCGGAATTTGAATTAAAGGCTTACCCCACGCTGGCCATATGGGCGGGCCCACCTATCACTGTGCCTTCTCCACTGCTCACTGCAGTCTCAGGAACAAGGTTCCTATCATTAAGATAGGCACAACTGCTGACTGTCCCAGCCCATACGATCAACGTGGATTTGCCTTTGGGAATGCACTAATGCCAGCCTCTAATGAAAGAGGGGACTGCGTCCACCGAAAAACTTTCTAAACCCTTGAAAAGTTATTACGCAATTCTGGATGCTGAAAACAATTTGGCACTATACGGCTTGGGAAGGGCATTGTGCTATTCCTCTTGGTTCCGTTAACTAAGAGGTAAACTGTCGTGAGGGCGCCATGGCTATGTCAGCTTTAAATTTGAAAAGCGTGCAATTGCCGATAATTTAAAAAAGAGGTCAGCCAATAGATTTGAAACTTCAAATACCGACCAGGGCGGAACTTAGATTCCGCTCTGATGAGGGAGGGGGTTAAGTTCGACCAATACTGCTCGAAGATCCCCCTGTAGACATACAGTCTCCAGAATACTTCGTTTTTTGAAATGTTT